AAAGTGACACTCGATAGTAACCAACATGAGCTTTAGAATCGCAACCCTATTATTTGGAACAGACCTTTAATTTATAGAACCAACCAGATTCTTTGAAATATATGGTGGTAGTTTTTCTCTCTAAGGCAGTAGCTTCCTTTATAGTAACACCATGGAATTTAGACTAACAGTTTCTTGTGATCGCCCCCATGCAATCAGTACAGCCGCATCAAGCATCATAATTTATGCTAATCACGTGACGCTAAACGCTCTTTAATTAGGATAATCTCAGAAAAATTTAGCAAATTTATGCTGAAAAGTTGGCAATGAATAATAACCGTCCATCCGTGTGATTCTTTAGAAAATTATAGCTAGAAACTGCTAATCTAGTTTGCTTGGCCTAACCAATATTTATCTTCACGTCCTTTCACCTTATACTTTTGCTGCTCGAAATCAGCCTTTTTTAACCCGACTGAAGAAAAACAGTCCACTTTTACTCTTAAGTAAAGCTATAGCAAAAATCTTAGCCGATAGCTCACGTGACGTTTTGCTTAGGTGTGCGCAAACATTTTCGTTAAATTTGAGCGGTTGTTTGTTATATAACTTTGCACATGTGACTTATCAAATGAGACTCCTAATTGTAGGTTGTAAGTATCTATTAGTGTACCAAGTTTGATAAAATTCATAAAAGTTATGTATGTTTTCTATCAAATAAAATTTCCGTACTTTTGATGCAAAGAAAAAACATTGGAAGAAACTCAATCAAAATTTGATATATTAATAGATTGCTTTGAAATTTGGTATGTGAAGTACGAATCCAGTAGCGCATATTCACTGAAAATGTACGATAGTTTTGATTACCACAGTTCGAGCTACAAAAGGTGAAAATCGCTAAACTATCACTCCTGTTAATAACACACTGTGTCCTGCATATTGTTGTTTTCTGCCGCAAAACACAAAACTGTGTGTCTTGATATAACGTGTGTATAACTCATTTGCGAATAAACGACCATAGGTGACGCTGCAATACAGCCTCAAACACATTATATTTCGTCCTAAGAACACAGAAGTATCAATGCAAGTCTTATCAAATGTTTAATATGTTTTTGTCCGTTTCAACAACAAACGGTATAGAAATTGACAGACAGAAGCATCATTTATGCTGAATACGATTTTTTGCTTAAGTGTTAACTCTAGGGTAGTTGTAACGCTCCTGCTACTCGATGAGTGAATGCAATTCCCAGTCACGTCACGTGATGGGCAACTATGGCATCAAGGTTATTTGGCAGCTTCATTTCTTTTTTGATAAATGTATTATGCATGAGTTTTTATACACCTGTACCAACTGGCAAAAGACTGGTTGTACAGTTCTCCCACCGCCTACATGTTTATACTCAAACCGATTTTGAGCCAACCGTGTATATTCAAACTATTTGCACAATATGCTGATAAACATAGCATAAGATATACAACAGAATATATTAGATCAGGTTGTCTCAGTCTATCGGTAGTGACGCAAATGGTCTCGAAAGAGTTAAAAATATATAAAACATATCTTTAAAGATGTTTTTAAAATTAGTATATTAAAAGGAGAGAGGTTCCTTCATCCTTTCAGTTTCTTCCTTACCTATAGAGAAAACGTTTCCTTTTGTCTTTTCAGTTCGTTTAAGATTTCCACTAAAAGCTATACAAGGACAATTTGTCCATAGCCATCTCTAATTCTGAACTGATAGACTAGAGATAATGCAGCCCGTCAGCAACGCACATAAACTCTTGAGTTACTCTAGTCTGATCGAAAAGTTTAGCTTGACCGTCATTCTTATCACACCCACAGCCCCAATGTTCAGAGAGAGATTTTGTTGATAAAAAATAAGGGAATACGCGAAACTGAATACTAGGATTTACAATCTAAGCACGCTATTAATTCGGCCACGCTTTGTCCTTCTTTTTAATAGTCTACATCTTTTGTGACTGATTGTTTAAAATCTTGGAATAATTTTAAAATAAACTGTACGTATAGAATAGTATTATTATTGAATTAACATTGTTTTTATTATTTTTGTTAGAACGGTAATTATTCTATGTTGATGTTTAGTTATCTGACAAATGGAAGGATTTTTAATATTCACCCTTACACAAGGGATCCCGAACTGAAAACGTTTGATAGATTATTTTACGAGGCATTTTCATTCAGGTTACTGAATGAAATATAATTATATTCATTGTGAAATTCTCTTTCGTTGAACTGAGTCGTATCTTACTTAAAGATGTTTCATCTTCCAATACTAAACATTACTTATATCTTCTAATAACTGAACAGAAAAGTTTAGTTATCAAAAACTAAAAAGGGGAAAAAATTATACCACAGAAAATAGCTAATGTTAAAGAAGTGTTTTAATGTTCACAACTTTTCGGGCTGGGACGCCCTTCCTCCGTTTTAATGTTTAAAAATCACCAGAGGAAGGGTGCCCCAGCCCGAAGCTTAGTGAACATTAAAATATCTAATTAACATTAGCTATTTTTTGTGATATATGATTTTAAGTTTTTCACTTTTCTACTTTTGATTTCATTGTATCACAGCTGTTTTTATCTGATTTTCTTCTAGAAAAGTTTGTAGTTTTTATACGCCTACTATAATTAAAATGTGTATTTTGTTACGTACAATTTTAATGCTTCCAATGACAAAAGGTAATTTCAACAATGTTTTCAATTACTTTCCACCATATAGTAAACAATCTGGCCAAACGTGCTTCATGACGGAAGAAAATATACGCTAAAAGGACCGGTAAGAATTTCAAATAGGGTCAGAGGTATTTTAATAGAACAGCAATACGTACCTGCTAAGGGTGCTCCTATAAAAGAAGCAAGCCCCTGAAATAACAGCAATAGTCCGAAAGCATTAGTCAGTTTTTCAACACCAAGAATTTCGGCAGTGATAACCGATCGAAGAGCAGCAAAGCATGCTTGATAAAACAAAAAGGAAACAAAATAATGAAGTAAAAACATCGTTATTAATAAACAAGTTAGCATATCATTTAAAGCCAATACCTTAATTATTCTAAAGATACATTGTATTTCATAAAGATATATCGATTTAACATACAAGAAATCATTATAAATAATCAACGTTAATAATTAAACAGAGTAGATAGAGTAAAATATTACAAAAAAATTATTTAGCCGAAATTTTACATTATAAGTTCAGACGAAAGATTAGGAGTTATAATAACCTTTCACATTCAGCCTTTCTGTTAATTTTTTATCCGCAAAGAACATTAGGAGAAATAATGTGAATACAACCCGAATATCGAGAGTTAAGTAACCCGCGTGTGCAATAGTTCATATAGGTTTGTTTGTTTGTTTTGAATTTCGCGCAAAGCTACGCGAGGGCTATCTGCGCTAGCCGTCCCTAATTTAGCAGTGTAAGACAAGGGGCAAAGGCAGCTAGTCATCACCACCCACCGCCAACTCTTGGGTTACTCTTTTACCAACGAATAGTGGGATTGACCGTCACATTATAACGCCCCCACGGCTGAAAGGGCGAGCATGTTTGGTTGGACGAGGATTCGAAACCGTCACCCTCAGATTGCGAGTCGAGCGCCCTCACCACTTGGCCATGTCGGGCCGTTCATATAGGAAAACCAAAAAATTTCAACTGCGTTGGAAACTAAAATTTCTAATAAATGCTTCTCTTCCTACTTATAACCAGAAATAGACGTGTTTCTAGTTGCGAAATCATTTGCATTTTGATAATCAACATATCTTGCAGTTTTAAACATAAAGTATGTCTAATACACATTTTCGTGTGTCTGCTTTAAAGCCAAAATCTTTTGAATGTTAACGTAATTATAATTAAGATTTTATGTTGTATGACATAATAACACAAACCAACTTGCATACAGAGAATTCCTAAAGAAATAATTCTAATCATAAAGTGTATAATGTATATCGATATTTTTCAATTTTCCCTAACCGTTGCAGCAACAACTACTGTTTAATTTAATTTATTATGACATCATTTGAAATCAGCATTCGTTGCTCAAATCATTATATTTTGAGCTACTAGCCATTAAATTTATCTATAAACAGCAATTTCATTCTGTGTTATACTACTGCGGTCTTGGCTGCAACTTTTATAAAGCTTTCCAAGTTTCATTGGTTTGTACAGCATACTGAGTAAGTGTCGTAGCTTGAAACGTTATCGAGTTTCTTTTAACGGAAAATGGATTTCATATGCATTAATATTTTCTGTATCTGTTTGATTTTTGAAAATATTTTTACTTTCTATTCACGCAAGTGAAGCCTTTGTTACCGCAAACAATAACCCCAAAATGCTCAATGATTAACTTGTCTTCGTCATAGACTTTCCTGTTCTTATTGGCTGCTATCTTTTGGTAGGAACGAGCATTTCTTTGCACATAATTTTCAAATTATACAGGCATTTTTAGATGTTTTAACGTAAACAAATATTCTAAGAATTCAAAAATGATTGAATGGTTACTGTTAATAGAATACAGAACTACTAAAAGTTACGTTGAGTCTTTGTACAAATAAGTTACCGTCTACCCTCTGATTTTAATGCTATTACTACAGAGATCCTGATTTACAGCGTCAAGTAAACTATACTAATTTACTTATATGTATAAACCACAAATAATCCACACATGCGTCATATTTGATAACGAAATAAAAGATACACATACCTATTGAAAACCCAAAAATTGCTGCGTATGCTAAAAGAAGACTGTATGTGTTTAAAAGTGGGTTCAAAACCGTGCACACTCCTCCGACTACAAGTGCTGTGTTGTTTATAACGAGGGTCTTTACCTCGGGCCGATCACACACCCATCCACTAAAGAGCCGGCCCACTGTGTTCGTTATTCCAATAACTGAAAGTATAAATGCTCCCTTTTCTGGGGGAATTCCATTCATTCCTGCACGATCAACCAAATACATAAATGGCACAAAAAAGCCAATCATAGTCAAAAAACCTGAAATAGCTAATACAAGAAAAGTGGGTCTAAATAGTAAAGAGAAATCCAACATCTGACGAAATGTATCTATCATTGCAGGAGAACAGCCACATCGCCGCCAAATGGAATTTTCTGTTTCTTCATTATGTTCCGGGATCCGAATAATACTGAAATGGTAGTGTTCTATATCCGGTTGTGACCGAAATTCCGGCAGACGGATGAGGCTTGCACTGAAGAGGATATCTTGTCTGTAAAATGGCCTAAGAGCTTCTTCTTTGTTAATCTTGGAGAGTCTTCTATTATTATTTTGTTGATTTCTCAAAACAGCGATTTTTTCGAGTGAAGGCTGTCTAGGAACCTTCAGACTGTTGTTGTTTAAGTAAGATGCGATGTCATCATTAACTACTTCATTATAGGGGGGTGGAAGACTGCCATGGCTGCACGTAGGGGATACGAATGATGTGGTTTGATTGGGAACATTAAATCCTGCAACTTGGAGCGTGCTTCCAGAGGCACAAGTGGAAGCAGAGGTGTTACCGACTATAGATGACCTCTGAGACGTCGAAATTCTTCCAACTCCGTTCTTTCGATCTATTAAGTTATCATCGATGGCCACTGACTCTTCGGAGTCACACCGGTGCAGAGCTTCTCGGGCTTCTTTGATTCGCAATAACAACGGCTTCTGTCGAGACTTAGATCGTGGATTCGGCTTTGGTGGGCCCAAAGGACGGAAGAGGAAACCGAATGCGATACAGTGTAGTGAAATTCCTGCTAAAATCAACATGGTGCCCCTCCAACCGAAGGAGTCAATGAGTAATCTGGTCACCGGTGCGAAAAGAAAGGTGCCGATCCCAGAACCACAAACTGCAATTCCTGTTGCAAAAGATCTCTTGCGTTCAAAGTAAAATCCTACTGTCACAATGGCAGGAAGGAAAATAAATCCAAAGCCGGTGCCTGAAAAATAAAATAAAAGTAATAAATTTAATTGCATAATGAAGAACTTATAAATTTCAATCCATTTAATCACAACATAAGGATTTGTTCGTCAAATCACGCAGAAGTTTTACAGTATTATTTCTGAAAAGAACCAAAAAAAATTAAAGCTATTACTGAAAACAAAGTGAACAAAAAGGCCAGACTTTTTTATTATTAACCATAATGCCAAATCCACAGTTTTGAATGTTTGAACTAGTTTTACACAAACATTCTCATACGATACTTCATGCCACATCAAATGATCTAAGCGATGACAGGTTAAAATACGGGAGTTAAATTTCACGAAACCTGTGTGAGCGTAATGAAGCAAAACACTAGAGTATTGTGAATATAATGTATGAATTTGGCTTAATTAATAAGTATTTTATGTAGATTGCTTTATTTTATTCATTTTATATGTTCTATGATACATGAACTGAATGTCATTTCAGATGGGGGATACTTCTTGGGTCACCAGTCCTCAGATGGTCGAAGATTTGTTGTTACCTGTCTACATGTTTCAACTGTGGGTTATTTTCTTTGATCTGCTACATCAAACTTGCAATTGACCAAAAAAGCTTTAAATTAACAATATAAAATGTTCTTAGTTACGATTAAAATGCTTTTGAAGAAAATAAAAATTAATATAAGTTCATTAAAAACTAAAAACAATAAACAAATAGCCAAAACAAAAATATAAACAAGCGCAATAATAAAGTGGTTATTCAGAGTGACTTTTATAACCACAAAGTATCCTCAGGTGCAATTAACTTCATTTTATGCATTATAGAACATACGAAAACAATATAAAAAAGTCATATATAAAAAACACTTTTTAAGTAATTCAAATTCACCTCTTATATCATATTCATAGTTTCGTATAATTTTGCTTCATTATGCGCATAAAGTTTTTTCTTATCTTTGGCCTTCATATTTCTATCCCTCCTCAACTCGTATTACTAACACATTTTGATCTGTCATCAAGTACTACATGAAGACTGATTTCTGTTAATAATAGTTCGAACACTTAAAACTGTAGATTTGGCATTATGGTAAATGAGGAGGAAGTTCCGGCGTTTTTTCTACTTTTGTTCTATTTGTTTGTTCGTAATTAAGCACAAAGCTACACAATGGGCTATCTGTGCTCGGCCCACCACATTTTTTCTACTTTTGTTCAGTTTGTTTGTAATTAAGCGCAAAGCTACACAATGGGCTATCTGTGCTCTGCCCACCACGGGAGACAGCAGTAAATTTTCTTCCTAATGATAAGAAATAAACAATACAATAAAAACTCAAACTTAGAGTGATCAATCAAACATATTAAAATGTCCTTTTATAATAATTTTATTTGCATATACAAAAAACAGCATATTTATACACAACAGCTACCTCTCTGGACAAAATGCCCACCATTTTGTTTCTGATGGTCATATAGACCTGCAATTGTTGTAAAGAAAAAAATTTTCTATGTATTTTAATAAATACTACTTGAATACTAACTCTGATACTTTAATCCTTATTTAATATTGTTGTGATGTGCTTAAATGATAATATACTAAAACAAGTTATTGTTTACAAAAATATTTTTCAGTTGTGTACTAATACCTAGAGTAGTAACGATTAACTATGCCTGTCTATAGATTACGAGTAGCCCCCAGTGGCTAAGCGGTATGGCTGCGGACTTACAATGCTAGAAACCGGGTTTCGATACCCGTGGTGGGCATAGCACAGATAGCCCATTGTGTAGCTTTGTGCTTAACTTCAAACAACAACATCAGATTACGAGTATTAGGCCTATTGTATTTCTTTATTCAGCTCCATAGTTTTTTTTTCAAGAAGAAGAAGAAGAGTATATAATAGTATTTCAATCAACTGTCCACAATATTCAAAACAGTAATAGACCAAATACTTATGATAAGTATAATTAATAATAATCACGTTTCTCCAACTTAACAAAGCCTTTCTCCCCATAACAAACAGTAAGGACTGTCCAAGTTACACATGTTTTAATTATAACATTTGTACTTTGAAGAGTTTATTTATTTATTTGAAAATTGCCCTCCCCGTAAGTAAGCGGTAAGCTTGGTGGCTTATAATGCTAAACTTCTAGGTTCGATCCCTGCAATGGGCACGATATAGCTAGCCAATTGTGCAGCTTTTTACTTAGCAAAGAACAATCAAAGTATTTGATAGTTAATAAAATCATTTTGTTAATAATTGTTTTATCTGTAGAAAATGTACTTGAAAACAAAAGGGCTTTAAGAAAGGGTACCTATTTTGCACATATACATATGAAACTTAACAAAATTCAGTGTTTTACCAATAACTATTGGACAATAGTACTAAAGATTTAAAACAAACACTGTAGTTTACAAACTACTTTCTTTGTTTGAGGCGTAGCGTATTATTTTTCGCCATGCCACTAGTATTTCTAAATTATGCATGCTAAATTTCTTTTGAGGCAAATTTTTATTTTAAGAACTGGTGTTTTTAATAGGCTTACTATGCACGTGCAGATTCATATCAGTTCTATTGAACAAATACAAATGTAATGATTTTTTGAAAACATTTAAGATCAGTAGTGTAAAAATCATAATTAGAGAAGCCAATAAGTAGCCCAGTTGTTTTCGAAGATTGACCTTTCGTCTTTAAGAATGAATTAAGAATGGAATGATCTAACTTTCTAAATAAGAAACATTTGAGAAATAAATATCCTCTTACCTCCTAAAATCCCATAGGTGACAAATAAGAAAACAATGTCTGTAGCAAAGGCAGATAGAACAAAACCTATTGCCGCAATGATACTCCCCATAATGATGACAGGTCTGCAACCATAAGTGTTGGCCAAGGCACTACACGGAGGT